AACTACCAGCCAGTGCAGTGGATGAGCGTACAGCTCAATTAACATGACGGATCCTGTTGGCAACGTCTTTTCGTTACAACTTCAGAATATCCATCCAGTTAAAATCAAAGGGTCTTTGAATTCTGGCTGTAGCAGTTGAATGAATTGTCAATGTGTTGGCTTCGTAACCTGAAATCCAGGTGTCACTGCCTAATGGGGTCGTGAATGCGCAGTGGTAAAGAGTCTTCAATTAGGAAAAAATATCTCTCCAGTGCTCCTAGGTTTACAATGATTTCGTAACTGACGATGTTTTGTAATGAAGTCTACATTTTAAGATAACAGACAGCCACTTATTTCAATAGGGTCGTTTCATGGTAATATCATGCCCAATAAATCCACCAAATCATCGTTGTTAGTAGGAAATCAATACCAAATACTAATTCGGTATAATTCATAATTAATTGGAATAACATAAATCTCCTTTAAAAAGACTTTTTGACCGCCTGCATTTTATCTGTTAAGCTAAGACTACTTATATGAGTAAATATAAATCAAAATATAAGAGCATAAATTGTGACCTCTCGGATTTTATTAACTTTGTTAATCGTGATTCAAATTCTTCAGATAGCAGTAATATTTTGCTGAAGGTTGTTGATTACTTCTAACACCTGAAGTTTCTGCCTAAAATTCTTGTTTTAGCTATCATTGAGCATTGAACATCATGTAAATTAGTGTCTTAATATATATAACAAATGAAAATGATTTGAATTTTTCCACTTAATGACTTCTTTTCCTATAATTTCAGGGTAATATAATAAAACAAACCGAATAAATATATATTCTGTACTCCTTCTCATTGTTCAGACCTTGCTGACAACAACACCTTTTCAGAAGTACAAGTCAGATATAATCATCCGTGGATATCATATATTTCACTTGTTAGATTTTCTTCACGAATTAACATCGGCTGGAGAGACGATTGAAAACCAAGGAGAACTAGACAGCTGTCTTGACATATTTGAGGACTCCTCATCAGTGTGCATCCATTAGCCCATCAGGGATGGAACAATGAACCCTTAGGTTACGAGACTGGGCTTGTTGACCACTCAACCATTTAGGCTGCGTTCTAACTTTGCCCTCACCAGCACTTCCATGAGCGTCCACTTCACGTTAGCATTGTACACACTACTATTCACGAATTCCCACTGCAGTTTTAGGAAATCTAACCTGATGTCATCAGTAAGTCGGCAATTGATATCCAGATTATAGGATTTGTGGGAATTTCAGATTAATTTCAACTGTTAGATTTTCACTGAAAATATCCTTTGAGTCATGAAGGAAATAGAAGACCATTCAGCGAAGAAAATTTTCTTTATCTACGAAATCATCTACTGAGATTGTACAGTCGTATTTAGATTTAGATTTCGTCCCTAACCAACATTAAATATTGTTCCATAGTGTTATACCTGTAAAGAGTCACCTCAAACAATAAATTACTTAGTATTGGACTAGATATTTTGATATTTTATTTTAACTTAGGATTCTTATGAATCTTCTTTCTTAGGCTTGATCTAGTAGTTACACAAAAATTGAAAATTGAGTGAAAGCTGTACATATTTAAAAGTTGTATGTATAAAAATATTAACGATGTTATAATTACTGATTCCAGACGACAAGTATGATTTTCTTCAAGAAATGTTTAACAAATAAAGTGCTAGAAGTATTTACAGAAGAGAGTTCACATCCTCAAAAGGATCATCTTTCAAATTTATTTATTTTTTTAAGCACTGGTTTTTGTAGGGATTTGGTTTGATTGGTTGGAGGATTTCATCATGAGCTGACATCGGTTAGAGAACCATTGGAAAACCAGCAGGGAGTACTGGACAACTGTTTCGTCCTAGTTTGGGACTCTTCAGCAGTAAGCACGCACTGGGGCTCGGAATCATGACCTTCCTGTTACAAGGCGAGCTCTTAGACCATTAATCCACTGAGATCCGACCCAACGGCCCATGATGAAATCCTCCAACCAATCAAACAAAATCCGTATAAGAACCAATACTTGAAAATTAATCTGATGCTCAGTAATGACTGGCCCTATTCAGGCAGTGACTTGGGTTCTAGTGGAAAGCCGTGACCAGTAGGGTGAAGCAGGTTGAAGATGAGGCAGTAACTCATCGAAGAAGACATTGTGAAGTGGTAGCGCTATGTCATGAATTGGCAGAAGTTAGTATTTGATTTTTTGTGTATTTTATTCCTTTACATTACAAGTGGGACATAGGGCTTCAAGCTAGAGCTTTAAAATTTCAGTTGCCAGCCTCATGCTAAACTTTGCTCTTTACCACCCTTAATACTAGCTTAGAGGGGCCTACGAGTGCATCGATCAAAGGTCGAACCTTAAACCAAAGGCATGCTTACCGAGTGTTCTACTACTGAATTGATGACTCACCACCTTTCAGTTACATCACACATATTGTTTAAATAGACCGAATGATTTCACTGCGATGTTTATAAAATCCAGAATAAAAATGAATTCATTATGAGTATGCTTAAATGAGCATTGAATGTAACCGAATCATAAACAATCCAATGGTTTCTCACCCAACACTCTTGAGACGGTATCCTATCATATACCTATTCTGAGATCCATTTAGTGTTAGCAGCGAATATATTTTGTAAGTAAAACAATAAATTCGTTACGTTTTGGTTCTGTTTATCTCTCACAAGTTTGAAAGGGAGAAAGGTAAAGTCATCCCTTAGAGATGTCAAGGAATAACACTAGTGTGCATCGGTGGTTCAACGATGGGATGCTCGCCAGACATACACTAAGTCCAGGGTTCGATTCCAGGTCAGATCACACCTTTGCCTCCTTAGCTTTTTGTATACCCAACAAAGAGGGAAGGTTGGGCATGCAGCTAGTAACTCCACCAAGTAAAAACACTACTTCTACTGGATTTTTAAACCTGGTGCTCAAAGTTCTGTGTTCCTTTTGGAACACACAAGAATGAAATTAATGAATTACCATTTAGCCTGTAGGAATAAAAGCCATCCACTAAAATTATTCAGGGGAACGGTGCATTTCCTTTGACAAAGGATTGCATCAAATTTATGGAACTTAGTTATCAGGTGGAAACTTTTTATGCCCAAGACTCTGAGTCAAAATTTCTATTCAAAGCTTGATAAAACTACTCAGTCGGTTCGAATGAAACAAGTGAAACATAATTCAAACCGAGGATGCATTAGCTAAGAGTCACATTTTAAATCTAGTAAGTCACATCCCAATACAAAACGACATCCCTCTAAACATTCATGCTGTAGATACCATCTGCTGTGGAAAGGTAGACTACATAATTCCTTCGCTTGAAATAGTGACTGCAGAGTTATCATTTTAAGTTATGCGTAGGCAAATTCTGTATGAAATATTCCAATATTTTGTTAAAAACAAAAGCATTACTTCAATAAGAAATGCTTTAAATAAATACCTGACTCATAAGTGGCATTGCAGATTCAGACCATAAGGATAGAAGGCTCTTGTTGCCTATTTAATCCTTGCGATATATATATCTCTGCAGAGGTCTAGTTTCTCTCTGAAAGCGTTCACAGATGGAGCTGTTACTCCTGAAAGAGATAAGGAGTTCCAGTCGTTGGCCACTCTGTAAAAGAATCTAAATTCCACACCTATTTTGTTCGACATTGGTTTGAGCACCTTCTTGTGGTGACCTCAAAAATGTATCCTAGAGGGAGAGAAAATGTTCGAGAGGTCAATCCATAAATCACCCTTTAGTATACTGTGTGTCACAATTAAGTCGCCTGTCTTCCTTCGGTATAACGATGGGAAGAGATTTAAATGCTTCATCCTCTTATCATAAGAAAGGTATGAGATACAAGTAACTAATTTGGTTCCTACTCTCTGTCCTCCTCTCAGGGTATGTGCCTCATTTTTGAAGCATGGACTCACCGCTTGTGTGCAGTATTCTAGATGTGGTCTGGCATGTGTTGTATAGAGTAATTGGAACATACCCTTGTCTAATCGTCTGAAAGCCATTCGAAGTGCCTATAGCATTCGAAAATCCCTAGCTGCGGCTCCATTACAATTAGCCGTTGTTTTTAATTCATGGCTCACAATAATTCCTTAGTCCTTTTGGTCCTTAACATCTGGTAGTCCCGTGTCCCCCAGGGAGTATGACGTGCAAGACTTCTGACTGACGTGAATTACCGCGCTTTTCTTGGAATTAATCTCCAGACTCCAGAGGTTAGCTCATTCAGCGAATTTATCTGGATCGGTTTGTATTACCAACCTATCATCGTTATTATTTACGGTTTTCCATATCTTGAATCGTTGGCAAATAATAGGGCTGTTGAGGTAAGAATTTTCGGCAGTTCATTTACGTATAATAGGAATAGCAGGGGCCAAGTACAGTCTATTGAGGTACCCCACTTAATTCTGCTTTCCGGCCTGACAGTACACCATTAACCCTTACCTCCTGCTTTCCAACCATACTGTAGTTGCTAAACCACTCACAAAGGTGTTGGTCTAATCCAAAATGTTTGAGTGTACTAAGAAGACCTAAATGTGATACCTTATCAAATGCCTTACTAAGACAACGTCTGGTAGATGGTTCTTATCCCTGCCTTCGACCCAATCTTGTCTAGCTAACAGTTAGTTTATCAGGCAGGATCGTCCAGGTATGAATCTATGCTGTTCTACCGCCAGTAATCCATGCTTCTCCATATGAGCTAAGAGCTGGTTCCTTATGAGTGTTTCTAATACCTTCTCTATGATGCAGGTCAGACTTATAGACCGGCAGTTAGATACTAACTGCCTGTTCACATCTTTCACAATGCGGCTGGGAGGTGCTGAGTTTGAATTCTGCTTGATGTGTACTGATGATGAATCCTAAACCTGGACGAAACAGCTGTCCAGTACCCTCGGGTTTTAATTGTTCCTCTAACTAATATTATTATTAGTCCGTAGTCGAACTTGACTATTTTCTATTATTCATTTCAGAAATCATTGATTCTAAATGTCTACAAAGCAAGAATCTCAATATGAAGCTGAAAAGTCAACAACTAATCTACTGATAACCAATTCAGTCAATCATCTTGTTGATAAAGTCAATATATTATCAGATCAAATAAATCATTGTATGAATATTAGTAGCCAGTATGCAGATACATTATCAAAATCAATAAATACAAATAATCCGCATACATTGTACGCTCATAATCGCAGTTTACAATGCATTATAAGAAAACTGTTTTGTTTAAAACAGTCAAATCAAAATGTGATCAAATCATTACAACGTTATCAAGGTTATATAGAAAAGCTTATTTTTGATATATGTCAAGAGATGATAAGCAACAGTCAAGCAGATATGCTTAGAATTAAGTGTTCAAGGCATAAAGTAATGTTCTATTTTAATTTGTTTTAATTTTACTGTTTTTTTAACTCTTTTTTTACTTCGGAATGTGTTAGCATGATGGTATCGTCCAACAGGTTGTTCGTACTGAGTGTCAACTATTAAAAAATTTAAAAAGAACGCTAGAATCAAAAATGAAACTGCTACTTCATACAATAAAAGTAAATTTTTAAATGTTATTTGTACAATGTTCAACTTTGTTTTGTTTTAAATAGAATGTAAAATGTATTCAGATCAAACTAGATGAATGGATATGTGAACATGATAGAATGATAGTTCAAACAGAGAGAATAAATGAAAGGCAATCAAATTCAATAGTGGTAAAATCTAAATTTATTTTGATTTTTCTATACTCATTCTGGGTATTTGTTTATTTCAGTTGGAAAAGCAAGTTGAAACATTGAATGATTCATATTCAACATCAATGAATTTTAACAAAATTTTAAAAACTATTGAATTTACTGTTTCACATGCCAATAGATTACAGTTTGATTTACTGTGTACATTTGAAAGAATTCAACATTTCCTGAATGGTACTAGAAAATCAGTGTATTATGCTTTGACTGAAGATTGCTCATTTCTAGTTAGACAAATGGTACGTTTGCAAGTCCTGAATGAATATATATATATATATATATATATATATATATATATATATATATATATGCTCAAAATAAATGTAGTAGCCAGACTGATTTCCTGTGGTTTATTCTGTCGCTTTCAACGCACTCGACAATAAAGTTTACAGAAGTTCTAATTTCACTGAACTTTTCACTGTAATGCAGCTACTCATTGGATCAATTTAACGCAAATTGTTACTCTAGTGATTTCAGTGTGGCAGATATTCTTCATTTAGACATTTAAAAGACAAAAGGATTGAACTCTTCAGTAGAAGTAGAAATTTTTTGGAATTTTCAATCATTAGTAAGAGTGCTGTTCATCGTATGTAAGTAGTCCGTCTGAATCACGATTAGTACCTCAAGACCTTAACCAGGTTTAATAATAACTTTTTTTTACTCCGCGTTCCCATTGGGAACATAGGGCTTCAAGCTAGAGGCTTGAAGTTTCTGTTGCAGTGTTAGTTTTTACAGGATGGGGCTGCTAGCCTTTACCAGTCTTATTACTGGCTTAGAGAGGTAAAGGAGTTCATCGGCCGGGGATCAAACCCCGGGCCATATGCATGGTCGGTGAGCATCCTAGCCGCTGTGCCACCGACGCATATTAATAATAACTAAATTCCCATTTTTACGCAGTTCATTTAAGGCTTCCCTTTATTTTTTTGGTCAATATACTACACGAATTCGGCTTGACAATCGTATATTTATGACGAGAGTTGACTTAATTATTGTAACCGCATCCATTGATGAAGGCATCAAATATTCAGTATAGAGGTTCTCAAAATGAACTTGTATATCCATTCTATTAATTTCAATATGAATATCATAAAAATTAGAGCCAAGGTATGATATATGCAAATCTGCTCAATCAAAAATAACGTTCAAAAAAACTGTAAACATGCTTATCTCAATTTAACGGAAATCGAACTTAAGGAGTTTTGTTTTCCAGACTTTGTCATAATTTGTTTAATCCCTTTGTCTTCAAAATGTCTAAATGAGGACTTTCGCAGTTAACCAGTATTCAGTTGCCGAGATAAATGATAGTATTGATAATTATTTCCTTTATTCCAGAACAGTATTCATGATACAGTTTAAAATTGTCAACATATGGTATAATATTGCATCTAATTCGCTCAACAAGAAATAAAAAAACATTACATGGTATAGGTAAAATATATTGATAATGGAAACTTCTTTCGTACTAGTGTGGCTAGTACTACTGATAAGACTTATCAGTAGTATATAAAGAGGTGTTCATCAGCATAAAAACAACAGATAGCAGGGAGATAAATTTGATTTCAGAGAAGAAAAATGAAACAGCGTGTGGAAATATATGGGAGACGTGAAAGGAAACACTAAGAAACACAGTGTGAAGGCCAAAAGTAGCACAACACGAAGATCTGTGCAAATGGTGCGTGAAGATATGGTCTGTATAATTTGGCTGAAATAGTGTTATCACAAATTACAAACAGAAGAAAAAAATAGCCATTTATATAGCTAATTACATAGTTAGTTGTAAGTTTCACGCTAATCACTTTCTCTATTACACAGTAAGTTGACCAAATAGACTATCGTTGAGTTTTGTACTAAGTTGTGTGAGCATATAATCTTTCAAAACAAATTCCAGTCCCACCTGATGAATGCTAAGAGAGAGTTGTAAATAATGAGATTACTGAGAGTCAGACAATACGAATTTACCTAATTTATCACATAAGCACAGGTATCTGTCGACTACAATATCAGTACATCACTTGCCCTACTGACAGCCTTTATTACACTTCTCTATATGATACAGACCTTTTTGGGTAATCCAGGAGAGACTAAATTGGAGTAACAAAGAACAACAGGTGAGATGCAATAGTTAACAAGCAGTGAAAGTAGAGGTTCAGTGATACGATACCTGATTGTCTTAACTTCTTAATGTGGCAGGTTAGATGAAACATTTTCTTAGAAATCGACAAGATAAAGGATGATCAAGAAAGTTCAGGCGAAAGAAGTATTTCAGGGTATTTAATTAATTAGTTTCAATTTCAGTGCCATCTATGCTAAAAGCATTTTGTGAACTAACCAGTCCGAGTAGATCACGTTTATGCTTGAAGGTGAAGGTCCGACATTTGGAGGGATTTAACGTGAGACCATTTAAGCTGGACTGCTGGCTGACGTCCAACAAAAAGCCACCAAGTTTGGAACAGTCAGATCATCAGCATATTTAGTAAAGCTGAATTAGTCCGGAAGAGGTAAGTCATATAAAAAGGAAGAGGAAAGGAGAGAAGACAGAACAGCACCTTAAGGGATTCCATCTTTAAGTAAGCAAGACACATAAAGGCTTGCCTTTCCATACCGTAAACTACATTCTGTTAGAGAAATTAGAATGCGACCAGTTAACAGCCCAGGACTCGGTTTGTGTCAAAGAAAGTTCATTTAACACAGGACACCTGCGTACAGAGACAAAAGCGGATTTGTAGTCAAGGAAGATATATTGGAAATATTTGGCTCCATTGTCTAAACTAGGAACAATACTACAATTTAAGACAGCAGCAGTATCTGAAGTACATCAGCCCTGTTCAAATGCAAACTGCTCAGATTCACTAAAACTTCTCAAGAAAGTTTCAACGTCGAGTAAATGCAGTTTTTCCATTAATTCTCCAAAAGGAGATATAATTGCAATAGGTCCAAGTTTAACAGTAATACCAGTAAATGATTTAGGTACCGCGACAATTTGAATTTCATCTCATGTGACGGGTACAAGACTACTGGACAAAGAAGCGTCGAAAATGTTCGTAAAAGGATAACGCATGGTGTCTGCATATCTTATGAGGAAAACAGCAGGTGCACCATCGGGAGCAAGGCTTTGGGAAGGTTTTAGAGATTTGAGACATTTGAAGAGATCAAGAGTATTAAACTCGTGGAAGCTACCATCCTTATGACGTGTAACACTGGGAATGATAACGCAATCGGTGGTATAACGGTTAGGACGCTCACCGACCATGCACATGGTCCGGGGTTCGATCCCCGGCTGACGGACTCCTTTACCTCGCTGAGCTAGAAATAATGCCGGTAAAGAGGAAAGGTTGGGCATGAGGCTAGGAACCCCATCCTGCAGAATAAACACTGCTCCAGAAACTTCAAGCCACTAGCCTGAAGCCCTATCTTCCACTAGGGAACGTGAAGGTAAAAAAAATCTGGAGAATGTATGGAAGACTGATTAACAGTATCTACATGGTTTGAGGGAACAGTAATAATTTGCTTACCACCAGTAATTTCGTTAAAAAGCCTCCACAAGCTAGAGGGGTTCTACATGATGATAGTTTTTGGTTATAGATCGTATTTCAGGTGTCAATAAAGTGTCTGAGACCAGATTTATCTTTTGTCTTGTATAACCACCCTTTTTCTCTCTGTAGCTTTCTGATAAGAAGAGAAGAGAAACAGCCAAAACTTTTGAAAAGCGTTTGTTCTGGGCAACAGATTTTAAGATAGAATTTAAGATAATCAATTATGTTAATGATTGCGTCATCTAGTGTATGTAGAATCTGTCTTTCCACTCATTCATTAGTTAAAAATGTTCTCTAGATTTTCACCTTATGAAAGTAAATTCATTGTCTTACATTTATTTCTTCTAATTTAGCACCAGTTGTTTATATCCAATTTAAAACAAAAAATGGCTCACAATCGAAATTTAAAAATGATGAATCAGATAATGGGTCAAACACCTAATAAAGTAAGAATAATAATTTGATAATTGTATTATTTCTTTTACTTTGAAATATACTTGAAGTTTAGTATACTTTATGTGGCTCCTTTGATATAAAATAGAAATCCCTTTTAAAGCGTTGAATGAAATTATTTTTACTGAGGAATGTGGCTAATTGATAGCATTATTTTTGGTCTCAGTTAAACCAGTGTTATTATCAGGAGCGTATAATACAACAATATTGGAATACAACTAAAATATTCCTGTTTGACAGTTATTTTGAAGTGAAGTTATTGTCAAGTTCTGTTGTTCTTTCCATTTTCAAACTTATTCTTTAGTTCCCTCTTTGGAGTAACTAAAAGTAATTTGTTAGTCACTTTTGTAGCATTTTTAGCGGATCTCGACTAAGGAAACAAAATACTAGCACTATAAGACTGATCAGTTATTATATTATTCGTTTTTATTCCACAAGGGCTAATCAGATACCCCAGTAGGGATATATTTAATTATTCTGCTTAGTTTAAAGTTATCCGTGTAATGAGTTTAGTAGGTAACGCAGAAATGGTAATAATACGTCAAAATGAGTGCTGCTGATTTCCTATAGTTGGCTTGTAAGTGTTAGTTTTGTTTTAATGAGTTCATCACGGATTGATATCAATTAGAGAACCATTGAAAACCAGGGAGTACTGGACAGTTATTTCATCCTAGTTTGAGAATCGTCGGCAGTACGCACCTACCATCACGGCTTGAACCCAGGATATTCTGGGTACAAGGCGAGCTCGTATACCATTCAGCTACTACGACCCGATTTAATGGCCAGCCCATGAATTCTAATTTCTACCAATTCGTGATTTATCGTGACCAACCACTGGAAGGTCCTGGGTTCGAACTCCAGTGTGTGCGTACTGCGGATGATACCCAGACTGGGATGAAACAGCAGTTCAGTGCTCCTTGGTTTTCAATAGTTCTCTAACTGATATCATTCCATGGTCAAAGTCGTATAATTTCCATATCACAACGATTAATCGTATTGGACAGAAATGGTTGATGTCTCTTAACATATCAGGTTCTATTACAGGGGTTTCAAAGATGTTTTGAAGACTGCCACGGTGTTATTTTAGACTATCATGATATCCAGGTGACAAGTCCCACATGGGATGAAGTATGCATTTTAGACTCTATTTCTAGTCACCACCAACCAAAATGACATCACACTGATCTTTGGATATAATCAAAGAGTCCGTACTACGAGCCGACATGTGAACAAAGACCAAGCAGTTTTAATAAGCCTCAAAAACAAAATTAATTGAATACTTAAGTTAACTGGTGGATGATGACTACCAGTGGAATCCAGGATGCTCGTTTTGTCCTGCTTGGGACTCGTCAGCTGTGTGTAGCTGCATTCTTCAGTAGGTGATGATGTTCCCACCGAGGCTCGATCCCAGTGACCAAGTGGTCTAGTGGATAACGCTTTGGCGTTTGAAACTATGGGCACTGGGTTTGAGCCCCGGTGGGATCATCATCACCCACTACAGAATGCAGCTACACACAGCTGACGAGTCCCAAGCAGGACGAAATGAGCATCCTGGTTCCACTGTTAGTCACCATCCACCAATTAACTTCTAATTGCATTCTCAGACATCGTCAGAGCATCTGAACAGGAAGCCGACATGTCAACCTGAGAACGAGTACTTCGGTTCAACCGATCGACGGGAAAATCTAAAATTGAATTGAGATTAGAAGAGATAAAATAAGTTAGTGAACATACAAAGATGAAATCAGTCGATATGTAAAACAAAAATAAAAGTGAGAAGATAGTCATAATGAATACTACTTGGATTAGCATCAATAATTGAATATTTCAGCAGCTTGTTTAATAAATTTTGGGATAAAACAAAGCCTTGATTGACTAAGAAACCAGCAGATTTTTATCTCCGACTCGATTCTAGACAATTCATCTTTATACTTAAAAAAGCTGTCTGAGTAAATTAATATATTTTTAAGGCTGGTTCATTTAGCTACTTTTGTTTTGATAAGGAATTCCAGTTATATCTTTAGTTTTATAGTCTAACGGCAGAAGACGAGAGACTTAGTATCTCCAAATAGCCAAATTATGTACACACTATCTTGATGTGGTTGTGCTCTGTGAGCTGGAAAGTTAATTTGCGAGGCTTTCATCGCGCTACTAGGCTTCAAATTGAAGTATGCGCTGAAGATGTTGCCTAGTAGGGTGATGAAAGCTTCACAAATTAACTATCCAGCTCAAACAACACAACGCATCAAAATCATCGACCTGAGCTACAAATCTTCTCCATCATATCTACACATTATCTTCAGCGTACCATTTGCACAGATCTCCCAAGTTGTGATAACTCTGGCCTTCATACTGTGTTTCTTGGTGTTCATTTCACTTCTTCCATATATCTCTCCTGCAATCAAATGTATCTCCTTGCTGACTGATAGTTTTTGTGCCGATGAACGTCACTTTATATGCTACTGATAAGTCTTATAAGTAGCACAGGTTACAACAGTTCTAGTTCTGAGCTTTTAAGTTTCACTAGCAGTGGTCTCCTTTATTTACGGGGTGGAATGCTTGCCTCATAACCAGTCTTTCCTCTTTATCAGCCTTACTCCTGACTAAGCAAGTTTAAGAGTGTATTGATGAGTAGTAGAACCTTGGACAACGTGCGTGGTTGATGATCTTTTGTAGATACCCTAAAATGCCACCTACTACTCTCCGTAAAATAATTAACTAATTAACTAATTGTTATTGAACTGATTTCAAGCTAGTTTATCCTTTAACTTTTTCCAACTTTGTCCTTAAATACTGGCATAGAAATAATTCTCTAACGTATTTCACCATACTGACTTTTATCTAATATAAGTCTAGTGAGTGATGGACTTGTGAATAGCACAATAAATCAATGAAGTAAATAAAAGATTTAAAGTAATTAGACTTTCAAAGAAGCTTTTGAAAATGACAAATAGTAAGCTTATGCTTATAATGAAATACAACAATTTTTATTATTATTAAAATCAATAATAAAAGTAAGTTCATTGTATATAAATTCTTTTGATCAAATTAGGAGTTATTTTCAAAAAAATAACCTTTACTTTACAAACTTGCTGCATGAAATAAGGATTTTCTCTCAGCAGTCTAAATGTGCTTATGGATTTAATGTTGATCACTTCTCAATAAAGTCTATTTTTTAGTTGGAAGAATTTTGAAATATTGAAATTCATCACTTCATAGTATCCGAATAACCTTATAAAAGGCGATCTGAGGGTGGCTTGCTTGATATTTAGCAATGAAATGCATACTCAGGCCTAAGAGTAAATCGAATTTATTAATCCATAAATGATCCTCATCTGATGTTTGATGAAAACAAATCAGGTGTTTCAGTGAAGAGGCTCTTCTCAGAAAATTCCATTTCCCCCTTTAACTGTAAAATAGCACTTCTATTCAGTTTTTCACAGAAGACGATAGTAACAGCAGTGATAAGGTGTCACAGCCATAGTTATTTAGACTACTCAATGCATAAAAGAAGTTGGTCATGTGTATTAGAATTACCCAGTAAGATGAATGATTTAATGAATGGTTTGTAATCAGAATGTACATGGAAACGAAGGAGAGTAACGAAGTTACGTAAGAGATACAAGAGTAATAGAAAGTTAGATAAAACAAACAAATAAAACTCAAGTTAGCAGAAATCAACAAAGTTGTTACCATTATAGTCGAAGTGGTTGAATAATCCTCTTTTGTTTGCATGGCTCCATTTTCTCGATCTGAATGCCTAGAGCCTTAGCCGTGCAAAGGAGATGAAAGCGTATTGCCTTTGGCAGATTGTTCTTCAGTTTGTAGATCACTTTGAAGGAGGTGTTTATTGAGTTGGAATGACTAATATTGACTAGAAGTTCGATTATCGCACTTCTTATATATATATATATATGCACTACCGCCCCTTTGTAACCATGAGGGCGATCTGCGTCAATTGACCAATATACCTGGCTCCAAAGAAACAAGTGAACTGATATCTGCACATAAAGGTGGTCAGATGTGAAATCTTGTCCTTAAGGCTTCTGTAGACCAATGGCCGACTGGAGAACACTACACTGATATTAGCTTCCTGTGAAGAATGTTCTTCTCAAAGTTTATGAGATTCTTCTCTTAAGGATATTACAAGCTGAGTTTCCCTTGAAATCCAAGTTCATGTGAATTATCTTTTTGGGAATAAGCAACTTTCGTTCTTCTAAAATTTTTGTTTTATATTATTTCCGATGAATCCTGTTTCTATATGCATCCTGATTACAAACCATTTATTAAATCATTTAACTCCTTTTATGCATTGACTAATCCTAACTACTATTGTGGTGAGAGTTGTCTGGAAGCCGAAATTGTAGACAACAGTTTACGTCAATGTACATCCCGAAAGAGGTCATGAGAAAAACAATAACAAAGACTAACCTTGAGTAACTCAACAACCAATCACAGTAGACTTAGCCTGTGCAAATACAATTCTCAGATATACGACTTAACTTCTAGGAAACGGTCAAAAGCAACACAGAATAACCTTCAACTAGAGAACAACCAATCATAAGACGCTGCTTCTCCGCTGACAATAATGTACATAAAAATCTATAAATATCTACTGATTTTCTCAATACACGATCTGTTGCCTGACCCTTTTCTTCTGTCGTTACATTATGACTATGACACTTCATAACGTTTGTTATTATCCTCCTCCGTGAAAAATTGTGTATAAATGTGATTTCACAGATAAAGGGAATTTTCGAGAACAACTTCTTCACTGAACCACATGTTTTTTTCACGAATTTATGAATGTTCACTAGTTAAAATACAACATGAACGACAAATAACACTATGGTTTAATATTTTTCAAAGATTTTAGCATGTCATAATCCGATAGAAGCAGGGCTGAGTCAGTCCTAACACCTATACTTACCTTGAACTTCCTAAAGAGCACTTTCATGATAAGAAGTGAAGCAGTTTGAAGTCCTTTATGATGACTTATCGTTGGCGCTAAGCACCATTATCGTTTTATTTTAAGCTTTCATTATCATATGTCCAGAATTATCATATTTTAATCTTCATTGAATATACTAATTATTTTTAGTCAAATGAGAAAGTTATGAAAAAATTATTAGCAAATAATGAACAATTACAAACAGTTCGACGTGAATTATCTCTACAGTATGATCATTTAAATCAATACATGCAAGCGGATCTAGAAACTCTACGAAGTCGACGTAGACAACAAACTGAACACTTGATAAAATCAAATGGTGCTGAAATGAGTTTAATAATAACTCGAATAAATCCTCAACAGCATAGAATATAAAAAGCAGATTTATCAGGAACCATTGAAACATTGAAAGAATTTGTTTAAATAATATCAGTCAGGAGGGAAGTATAACAATATAGATGAATACATAGACTATTTGTCTGGTTGTTTGTTCATCTAAAATATCTCTATAAGTCAAAGTAAACAAAAATAAAAATAAATTTTCCCTATTATTATTGCGTCTTCTTGATGAGTTATACAGTATTCAGTTGTTCTACTGCTTTTAATTAAACAGCAGACTGAGCGAAGAGATATATTCCTTTTAAATTAGTTCTCATTATTGACTTGAAACTAAAATATGGCTTTCTACGTCAGAATATTTGTAAGTATTGGCTTAGTAGGGATTCTGTTTGTCTGACTGCTTGGAGGATTTTATCTTGTGCTGACATCGGTTAGAGAACCATTGGAAAACCTGCAGGGAGTACTGGACAGCTGTTTAGTCCTAGTTTCAGACTATTCATAGGTACGCGTCCACTGAGGTTTGAAATCAAGACCTTTAGATTGCAAGCCTAGAGAGCTCGTAGACCATTAGCCACTGGGACCCGATCCAATAGTCAGCTCATGAATTCTAACTTCTGCCAATTCATGACATTGTCCAATCAATTCGCAATGTCTTCTTTAATGAATTACTGCCAATCAAGTGGTGAAATAAAGAGCTTAAAGGCCATCAAAACAACCAACTAAAAGATGCTAGTTACAAGATATCTAAGTTTTGCAGGAGGGGTGAAAATTAAGTATGGAATTCAAGATGAGCTGATTCTTAGGCGTTAGCAATAAGTTATTACATAATTAAGAAATATGTAAAATAATGATAACTAAGAAGAACAGGATGACTCAGAAGAATTAATTAAGATACAAACAGGTTAACAGATTTAGCTAGAATTGTAAGAACTACGAAAGTCAAAAGATAGTTACAAGGGGAGGGGGAAAATCATTTTTAAAAACGGAATACATATTATGTAGTTGGCCATAGTAAAGAAATGGGCCATACAAACTTTTTCGAACACATAGATTGGGTTTGTTCAGATGAATTCTGATTGCCTCTGCTGTATGTAAAAGTCTTACTCACAGACCATAAGAGAGGTTGAGAGAAACACGATAAAAAACTTTAAACGCTTTGTTAGAGTCAACTTGATGTCCACTATCGACAAGATGAACCAGTTAGTACTGAGCTGTATGTAGCTTTATTCGGACCTTTGTGAAACCAAGATGCGAGATGTTCAGAAATTCGACGTTGGACATGCCTGATCTACCTATGCTTCAATATTTCGGGTATACATTCTATAGCGCTGATCGCCTATAGGGCCAACCAACACATTCACTAACATGTTGCAGCACACCAGTACAATAGCCGTGTTTCAAATGGGTTCATGTAAGAAAATGTCGTAATGATCCTTCGGCAGGTTCACCTTCAGAAATCTTGTTACGACTTTTACTTCCCCTAAATTGTCACGTTAGGCCGTCTTCTCAGCATCAGTCGAGTGACAAAGCCACTTCAATGGCTTCACTAAACTATTCAATAGATAGAAGCGACGGGCGGTATGTAAAAATGGTAGGGACATAATCAGCGGAAGCTCATGACTTGTACTTACCAGTAATTCCTTTTCCATGGAGAATAATCGCAAGCCCTGATCCAGGTCACAGCAGTAATGAAGACGTTTGCCCAACCCTTTCAGGCCAGGTTCCCAAACTCTCTGACGCCGACATCGTTGCGCATGTGTGGCTCTGAACAGCTAAGGGCATCACAGACCTGTATCTCTCAATTTCGCATGACATTAATGTGCCGCCTGTCCATCTAAGAAATAAAAAATGGCACCGTACCCACTGGATAACGACAGCACTACACTACAAAGAAGCAATAGAAGCCGCGCCTAAAAGGGCACAGAGTACTAATCTACTATTTAGTAGGTTAAGGTCTCGTTCGTTATCAGAATCTACCATACGAATCGCCCCACCAACTAAAAATGGCCATACACCACCATCTACAGAATCAAGAAAGAGCTTTCAGTCTATCAGCCCTCACAGTGTCCTAGCCGGGTAGTTTTTCCTCTGTTTAGTCGAAGTAAACCTCATGCCCACTCCTGGTGGTGTCCTTCCACCAGTTTATTCAGTTTCAGCTTTGAAACCATATTTCACCAGCGTCCAAAAGACTTAAAGGTTTCGGGGAACTGCTCGCAACGTAACTTATAGAATCATCGCGAATAGCCAGCTGCCATCGCTTATGGTCAGAACTATGGTGGTATATGATCGTCTTGGAAACTCTGATATTTACTCCTGATCAATATAAAACATCAGTGAAGTTCAGCGTGTTCTACTTCTTTTTGTTAACTCTGATATAATGTTGCAGGTTGATTGTGGGATGCAATATTCGCTCTGGTAGTATCTTATAGAACAACTTCAGTTAACCTTTCAGAGTGAAAGCATTGTAAAAAATAATTTAGTAATGCTCGAGTGATTATACAAAAGCATCGCTTCCTATGAATCCTAATTAGTGAGGATATCACTAAGCCTACTTAGTGAGACTGCTCCACTAATATGTAAGAAGTTTAGAACAATTGTCTTTGTCTGTGATTACTCTTTTAACGAACAACAGAAAGTTGAAAATAAGTGTCAGAATTGAAGTATCATGTGATGACTGAAAGTGGAATAAAAATATACGTTGTGGAAAGATTCCATTCGGCAGCGGGATGTTGCTAGCCAGATCAAAATTTCACTGAGGTAACCGGTAGTTTTTCTTAGTTGTCATTTTTCCTCAACATCGTCAAGATAGCCACTTGTCTATGGTAGGACTGTTTTCGCCACAGTAAGCTTTTCCACTTTCCTAGACTTATTATCATTTATTAATTTAAGCGACGTTTATGACAGCATCAGCCAGGAATCAAACCCTGAATCACATACGTGGATGGTGACCACTGACTTAGCAGAGGCAGGCATACTGAATCTATATCCTACCGTTTCTTTTTGTGATTATTAGTGCTCATCTACAGAGCTAATATGTAAACTTAAAGTTAATAACCTCTTTTTGAAATTTCCACAGCCTTGTTGTTTTTACACGGTAGGATCATTAGTTCGACGCCCAAACATCTGTCTTTTCCCGGTTTATTACCGGCTAGAGGTGGTTTAGACGTAATTTAGCTAAGAGCTGAACTCACACATTCCGAGTGGCTGGAGAGTATCCTATTACTAAATCACTATCAATGACGTCCTCTAAGATTATAATTATTATTTTAATATCCTTTAATTCCTCGAGGAACATAGGGCAACAGCCACGCGTCTCCATTGCGTTCGGTTCTCCACCAACTTTTTCACCCGCTCCAAGTCTGCCCACATGCTTTCATCTCCTCTTCACATGACCTCCTCCAAGTCACCCTTGCACTGACGACCAATTCGCCATTTCCCTTTCGGGTTCCACTCGAGCAATGGCTTGTCTAGTGATGTCACTTGATGGTTTCCTCAGTGTATGGCCGACGCATCTCCATTTCTTCCTGCCTATTCGTTTCACAATCGGTTCCTGGTTGGTTCGCTCATTTCCAGAGATCCCTGTTGCTAATCTTTTCTGGCCAGCCATCTGATCTTGAGTAGTATTGAGCGAAGACAAGTGTTAATGAAGGTCTGAAGTTTGTTTGAGACGCTCTTTATGACGCGCCAAGTCTCTGATACGCATGGTGAGTAGCACTGACTTCACATTGGAGTTGACAATCCAGATGTTATTTTTGATGCTGAGTGACGCTGACCTCCACACAAACTTAAGGGTAATGAAAACCTGTCTAAGTATCTCCTCTAAGATAACTGAATCCAAGTTATCCAATGTGAAATCCGGAGACTCCGTCTCTGGCATTCTGTACTGTCATCACCCTACAATAGGAAGTAGTTGAATACATGGATCACTTAATAGGGGATTAACCGACGTCATGTTTGTTATCTACATGGATAAATTTTTGTTAGCATCAGGTACATTACTCCCATAAAAGTTGCAGATAGACATTCCTGAATGGTACTCGCACCTACAACAACTGAGTGCATATTTTAATATCGATTGTTCTAAAGTCTGTTTCCTATTACAATTTTGTTAAATTTCAATGCCAATTCAAAAGGATAACCTATTTTGCTGATACTGTTTAAGAGCTATAAAAATACTGTAAGCGATGATCTGTGAGTTTTCCTAATGTGTATCCATAATAATCTCCAAGTAATACCAAACGAATTTCGAGAACTACACCACTATTATATGAATATTAAGCTTACTTTTGTTGAATACTAGGTAACTACTAGTGTTATGAGTCTAGTCTTTCGTTTAATGCAAAGCGAATTCTGTCAGTCAAGTTTGCAATGTGGCCATCATGCTAGGTAACTCGCCATCAATATTCGCCGTGAATTTTTGTTATTGAGTGGTTGGATATAATCGGAAGGAAGCCATCCAGCCAGGTTTCGTGCTCTTTTGATTTCTTGTCAGCGAAGTGTTCAAATTTCAAAATTGACTAACACAGTTAAGTCTGTGCCAATACAAAGAAGTAAATTCATGACACTAGTTAATGGTTAGTATCCAGACAAAGTATCAATTACAATCCTACAGTAGGTAAATCGCGAGCCCGAATTTGTCATTTGTAATATTCCTCATCACAGAACTGGGTGACATACAGAATTGAGTCTCAGAAGAAATATTAGTTCCCTCAGGACTGCAGATACACTTTGCTGACGAGCACTAGCAACCTTGGAACCTAGGTACAAGACTCCCTACTGATTGTCTCCGACCATTTAATCATATTGTGGTCTAAAATTATTGTTATTATTGTTTCCTTGGGTTCCTAGTGGAACATAGGGCTTCAACTGCACGTCTCCATTTCCTTCTGTCTTCTGCTGTACTTTTCACCTGTATCCGTGCTAGTCCATACTCTTTCAACTCCTCTTCCCACGATCTCCTCCATGTCAACCTCGGACGTCCCACATGCCGCTTCCCTTCGGGTTCCACTCGAGGGCTTGACGTGCGATATCACCCAGCGGTCTC